AGGCAAATAGCTTTTGGGAAAATGTTTTGGTGTCTGAGCCTCTGTAGAATTAGAGCTTAATTTCATAGCACCTAACTTAGCTTTTGCAAAAGTTAAGTGAAAGGTACTTTGGAAAACCTTGTACCACAGTGAGGATGGATACCTTCCTGTCCCTGTGGAGCCCAGGTGGCAGCCTGCATAGCTATTCTGAACGTCGTTGTTTCACCACAGGACAAGGTGTGGACGAGCCGCTTTCTGAGACTGGGTTCCAACAGGCAGCTGCTGCTGGGAGCTTTTTGAAAAATGTGTTGTTCACACATGTGTTTTCCAGTGACCTCACCAGGACCAGGCAGGTGAGTTCAGTGTTCCAGCCGTGTGACCTGAGCGAGCCGAGAGCCCTGTGCCAGCTGAGAGCGGAGGCTGAGATCACGCAGGGGCCACCAGTCCGCACCCCGAATGGAGCTCATTGCTCTCTGATCACTGTACCCTTTGGGGGTAATTTTTAGAGTAGCTTTGAAAAAAATGTGCGAGGAGAGTAGAAATAAACGTAAATATAGACAGGTGTTAGGAGAGACATGGACAACTGACACGAAAATGTGTAAACCCATAAAGCCGCCAGATGGGAGACTCACCAGTGACCATCAAAAAAGTGGGCTGTGGTAATGTGACGTCAGGCGGCTGAGGCAGGGGTGGCCGCGTGTGAGCTCAAGGCCGGCCTGGGCCACACAGTGAGTTTCAGGCCAGCTTGGACTGCCTAGCAGGAACACCGTCCCCAGAAATAGAAAATTGTCCAAATCTGTACTCAGAGAATTCTTTAAAATTTAGAAGGTGAGTTAATGATTTTTCTCTCACATAAAAGTGAAGAGACCAGATAGATACAGATCCATACTTTGTTGGCAACCATTATTTTACCTTTGGTTGTTTTGGGTCAGTTGGCTTTTAGTTTAATTTTGTTTTCCCCTTTTGCAATACTGGGAATTCAGCGCAGGGCCTCACCTGTGCTAGCAAGCGCTCTCCCACCGCACTGCACGACTCTCCCTTACTGGGTTTTGACAAACGGGCCTGGCCATGTGGGTGCTGAGAGCAGAGACAGTAGCAGGGCCCCAGAGAGACCAGGAGCTGTATGTGACTATTAGCTTGCCCCAGATGCAGAGATTGATGTAAAACTGGCTGTATATTCTAGTGAATTTTATTCTGTGAAAGGTACTGTTAAAATGAAAAAGCTAGCCATCGATTGGAAAGGGAAAAATAGTGTCCATATAGTACATATGCCACAATAAGGAGGTGTGTATGTATCTAACCAGGTGTGTGTAAATTCTACTCAGTAGCTAGACAAACACTTCACTTTAAAAGAGGTAAAAGATTTGAATTTGACCAAGTACTTCACAAAATGAGATACTAAGGAGATAAGCGGGTAAAAAGATGCTCAGTGCCATTAATCACCACAAAAATGCAAATTAAAGCCGCAGTCTGCTGCTGCCACTACACATCAGTGACTCACAAGAGGAGAGCTGGTCAGGTGCTGAGAGCGCACACTTGCCGAGACGACAGAAGGAAGCGGTTGGACAACAGTTTCATAGTTTAACATTTATTGTGTTTCCCAGCAGTTTCAGTCCCAAAAGTTTGCCTGGTGGAAGGAGGAACACAGGATTAGGAATGTCCCCGCCAGACTTGTACACAGTTGTTTACTAGCAGTGTTATTTGTATCACAGCACATGATTCCACTTAGGCAGCTGGCCTGCCTTTGGGATGAGGACTTTCTGGTGTGGGGATGAAGGAGTCTTTTCAGGTGGTAAATTTCTCTTGATTCAGGTAGTATTTAGAGGGGCTTATAAGTTTGTCAAAACTCAACGGACTTAAAATAGGTATGTGTATCAAAGTCAATCAAAAATGGGGAATAAGTCAAATGAAAAGCTCAGTGAAAATGCTGTTACTGATTACACAGCATAAGTGCCTGCTAGTTTATAGGCGAGGCGTGAGCCTCTCCCTGCCCAGCACTGCGATGCGATTGGCACTCTTAGCACTGAGCTACAGTGCCAGGCCTTTTGTTTTAGGCTAAGGTCTTGCTACGTTGCCTGGACTGAACTTGAAATCGTGGTCTTCTTGCCTCAGTCTCACATGGACTGAGTGATGGGATTACAGGCGTGTGCTGCTACACCTAGTGCGTGTGCTCCCACACCTACTGCGTGTGCCAGGCTCTCGTGCATACTAAGGGTGCTGCTGCTGAGCTGCACCTTGAGCCCAATAGGCTGCTGACGCACGGGAGAATACTGCTGGTTTTTTGTTATTAGCTAGGATAACATGTATTTTAAAGTTTATAAGAAAAGGGACTATATATATATATATATATATTTATATTTATATTTTTTTTCAGACTATCCATGGGATTTTGGAGAAAAGTAAATTTTGTAAAGACATGACAATAGCGTATGATTCAAGACTTCGTGAAAGGGTAAGATTTCTACATCCTTATTATATATTCTTTAAATTTTCAGTAGGCCACCTTAGCTTTACAACTGGCTAAAAACTGAAATGCTGTCCTATTGGAGATCTGAAATGCTTTAGACTCCAGGATGACAGGCACTGTTGCATAGTTTCATACCCAGAACCTTAATTATTAAGACCATATGTGATGAGGTGAGCATGTTTATAAAAGCTAAGTTTCAAAATTTGCCTTTCTAATTCTACTCAGCATGATGAGACTTTTCTTAGCTCTGTTTTATATACAAGAAATGAATCTTCCTGAAGTTATGACTTACCCAAAGCCACTGGGCATTTTCATCTCTACCTGGCCAGATATCTTAACGAAACAGCTAGAACATGTCTAAAGTCTTACTTCTCTAACTTGCCCTAGGTTCTCTGTTGCAGTTCAAAACATATGTAGACTACAGCCCCAACAGAAATAAGTTCTCATAGCAGGGAAGGGTCGTCTCCCCAGAGCCAGTGCTCGGGTCCTGTGAGGGCCCCCCTCGTGGCAGCAGCCTTTCCAGGGAGGTCCGTCTCACTGTGCTCAGTTGCTGCTCTGCGATCTCAGCTGAGCGCTTGATGACTTCCACTGTCTTTTGCTAAGATGTCTCACCATACTGCCTCTGTGCTGGCCTGCTTGGGCCTCCCCGACTCTGCAGCCCTTCATGTTCCCTTTTTATGTCTCGTGCTACCCAGTCTGTCACCGCTGTCACCCCCTGCATCTGGGGAGTTCCATGTCTGTGTACTTGTGCTCCTTAGTGTAGCACTGGCTCTTGTCTTATGTTTTGGGTGCTGTGGAGAGAAGCTAGGGCTCCGTGTGTGCTAGGTAAGTACTTGTAGTGAGCTGCACCTCCACCCCTTTTATTTTATCTTGAGACTCACTTGCTGAGTTTCCAGGCTGGTCTTGAGTTTGCAGCCCTCCTGCCTCACCTCCCGGGTAGCTAGGCTTTTAGGTGTGTGCTCCTGTACTTGGCCCTGCGTGATTTTAAGCAGCTCGTTTCTCTGAGAGCCTGTGTTTCAGCTCAGTGTCATCTCTCACCTTGGTCCCTGATAGTGACTTTTGTTTGAGATGGCGTGGGTGGGGTGCTCACTGTGTAGTCCAAGCTGGCCTTGAACTCACTGTGGAGCACAGACTGGCCTGAAACTCGCAGCAGCCCTCCTGCCTCAGCCTCCCAAGTGCTGGGATTACAAGTGTGTGTCACTGTGCCTAGCTACTGACAGTAACTTTCTTTTCCTACCACAGCTGGAACAATCTTTTGCAGATGGGGTGGTGACACCCTGTATAAAGTGGTTCACTGGTTCTCTCAAGGGGTTGTTCACACCCTTTCACCTGGCTCCCAGGTGCTGTGGGGATTTGTCTGTCACCTCCCCCGCCGCTCCTTTCCCCGGCTATTCTGTCTAGCCTCAGTGACAATGTGAGTGCATGCCGGGACGGTCCTCCACACTTCTAGTACCTTGTGCCCATTCCTCCTCACAGCAGCCCGCTGTGAGGCAGCCTGAGACCCTTGTTCTGACCCTCATTCTAGAGAGAGAAGCCACTGTGCCCAGGCCCAGGTCCTGTCAGGACCCCGTGGCTGCCCAGGCTGGGAGCTGCCCTCCTTACCGCAGGCTCTGCTCTTCCCTCTGGCTTCTGAGTCTGTAGCCGCCCTGCCTGGGGCGTTGCTCACCAGACCTGGCCCGTTCTACTCACCTTTCTGGCACTGCCTTGTGGCTGCACACGCATCTGTGTTCCTCCTCCCCCATCCTGGCCCCTTGCACCAGTGCTCTGTTCGCAGTTATGCTGTGCTGACCAGCGAGTCACCCTGAGGCGCTCCATCGTGCTGCGGCCTCGTCACCAGGGTGTACTTATTTGAGGTGTTTTATGAAAGGTTTCTGTTCCTGTGAATCAAAGGCACAGATATCTAAAAAGTCCTGACACAGGGATAGCAAGAGGCCTGACTATAAGAAACCGTGTTATTCTTATAAAATAGTATTTAATTATTGGACTCTTACCTGACAGCAGTGTGAGGGCATTGGGCGTCATCCCTTCGAAACCAAAATGACTCTTTCTTTCAATATTTATTATGCAGTGTTGCATTATGATTGTAGAACATTAGAAGTGAGAAGAGTTTGTAAGAAATACAGGTAGAACCTCCACTCCCTCCAGATAAACGCTGAGAACATTGTGTTGTGTGCTCCTGACTTCCAAGTCAGTCTCCATATGTACTTTTCTAAGTGGCATACCCCATACTGCCTTTAAGCCAGCTTTTCCCACTCACTGTCCCCTGACTGCCCCCCCCCCCCATGTGTGGCTGTTGCAGTTTTTACGGCCCAGCTGCTACTGACAGACAGCTGGAGCACGACTAGATTTTCTGCTGCCTCTGCATGCCTATCTGACACTTCTGTAGAAATGGACAAAGGCAAGGTGCACTTTTCTCTAGGCTTCCACAGCTGATGCTCCATTGCCTCCCGTGCCCCAGAAGAAGGTGTGTGTGCTGGCAATCTCTTTAGTAGCTTAAGGATGACACCACATGCTTCTCCTTTTTTATCTTTGGCGAGGCAGATTTCCTGCATTCTTGTTCACTTGCATTTCTTCTGTGACTTATCTTTTGCCCTAGCTCAGTCTTAGGGAACCTAGAAAGCCTGCAAGCCTTGAAGCCGTACAGATCTGGGGCTGAGTCTGAGCTTGGCTGATGACTGGCTGTGAGAGTGGAGTGTGGTTGCTTACCCTTCGCGAGCTGTAGCTCCTTCCCTGAGAGGTAGAGGTGCCCCCACACACTTCCTTCATGGTGCTGTTTGTTTCTGGGGTCCTTGTCATGTTAGGTAGGGTTCGGTGGCCAGCCTGGTTCCTTGCACACGATAATTCCTAGCCCCAGGTGTACAAAGGCCTGTATTTGTCCAGGAAACCCCACTGTCTACTGAAATCAGCTTCAGTATGTTTGTACACATGGCCCACGTGGCATGTAGACAACTCAAGACTGCCTCTTTACTTTCTGGGGTTCATAGCTCTCTGCTGAGTACGCATAAAATCATAAAATCAATAAAGGACACTAAGCTTAGTCCTGGGACGATTCTCCAGACTTGTCATAAACCTGAGCTTAATTGTTGCATTGCACACTCATGTGCGGGTGTTGATTGTTGGATGTTGCAGAGATATGGGGTTGCCGAAGGCAAGCCACTGAGCGAGCTGCGGGCCATGGCCAAGGCTGAGGGGAAAGAGTGCCCGGTGTTCACACCTCCCGGAGGAGAGACACTCGACCAGGTAGGAGGCCGGGCCCCATCACCACCCCGGGAGCCAGCAGTGTTCGTCACCCAGAGTTGGACCCTCCTGTGGTCAGATGCTGGGCTTCAGACCCAGGCAGTTTGGAAGTTGGTTGGTGCATGAAATAGCTCTGCATGCTATCATTTCTCTTTTCCTTTTTAAGTTCTCCTGTGTTTCTCACATACTCTTCAGTGGGTACTCTTCACTGGTGATGAGTTGCAGGAAATGTGTTCAAAGAACAGATTCGTGAAGCGGTGGCCTGGACAGGCAGTTGCTGAGACAGATGGGCACGCAGGAGCCGGGCACTCGCACAGGCTGCGAGATTTACAGTGCACGTTTCTTCTCTGTCTCCTGCTTCAGATTGCATCGTTGGTGGCTGTTTCTTCCTGTTTAATACGTGATTTTTCTGGTACTGAGTCCAGTGCTAAGCATGACTCAGTAGACATAGCTAGAAGGTCTGGTGTTGGCGCAGCCACGCTGGGCCGTGTACAGTTTCACAGTGAGTGCTGCTTGCAGCTTTCTCTGTACTGGGATTTCCCAAACTTCACATCCTCTGCAGTCAGGAGTTGGGAATTGCATCTCTCACTTCTTTCACCACTGGGCTTACAGAGCTGTGGGGAGCGCTGACAGTGTGGGATAGGGTGGCCGGAAGTCTAGGCTGGGACCCGGGGACTCGCACCTCACTCATGTTAACATTCTGGAAAACGTGAGTCAGTTACGTAGGTGGTTTAATTCTACACATATTGACAAGTACCTTGACATAATTCCGTGGAATGCTAGTCGGGTTGTGTGTCCCTCAAGCATCTATCATTTCTTAATGATGAAAATGTTCAGAATCTTCAGGACTTTTGAAAAATGCAGAACATGTGTGTTGTCTCCAGTTTCCATGGCTTGCAGGAACTGTTTGTTCCTTGTCATCTTCTGTCATTCCTTCCTCCCCAGCTGCTGCTAACCACCGGCTCTCAACTTTTATGGGGTCAACCTTTTTAGATTGTGCAACTGAATCATGCTCTACTTATCTTTTTGTGCCGATTTATTTTACTTAATATAATCATTATCATTTCTATCCATATTGTCACAAGTAACAGGGTTTTATCCTTTTTATGGCTGAATAATATTCCATCAAGTATGTGTATCTTTTTTTTTTTTTTTTGCACTGCATGGTATTTGCACTCAACAGTTAAACCTGCTGGTGTGTTCAAAAGACAGTGCCATAGAAATTCAGTATCTGGCATTGTTGGTTTTCTTGCCTTTGTGCATGTTAAACCTGGTATTGATACATTATTTTATGTCTTATATGTATTCATTTTAGCACAGAATCTTCTATGCAATGATTTTTTTAAATTAAAATTTAAAAAAGTAGCACTTTTTTTTTTTTTCTTTTATATCCTTGAACGGTTGTTTCTGAAGAGTGCTGCAGCAGTCTTCTCTTCAGGGCACTGATTTCATTTTCCATGTACACATGCCAGCAAGAGGACTGTTGTAGTTTCCTGAGGAGCCTCGTGGTTTCTGTAATGGGTATATAACTTCCATTCCCGCCTAGAGTGTGCAAGGGCTCCCTTTTCTCCAGAGCATGACCAGCACTTTTTTTTTTTTTTTTTTTAATGTTTTGGTAGCAGTCGCTCTTCCTGGGGCTGAGCTGATAGCACGCCATGCTCTTGATTTGCGTTTCTCTGGTGCCTGGTGATGTTGAATATTCGTCCACATACCTGTTCTGCATTCCCATGTCTTTTGAGAAATGTCTATTGTGTCTCCGGCTCCCCTTTTAATCAGGCTGCTCTTGTGCAGCCCGATTGTGGGTTTTTGGACCTCCTTGTGCATTCTGACCCCTGCCAGACACTTAGCTGGTGAACAGTTCTTTATTCTGTGGGCTGTCTTCTGCTCTGCCTGCCGCTTCGCCGTGCAGCCACGTTCTAGTTGGGTACAGTCCCATTCTTCTATTTTTGCATTTGTTTATTGTGCAAAAAATCTGCGTCCATCTCAAAGTCCTGAAGCATTTGCCCTGTTTTTGTTTTGCAGTTTCATAGTTTCAGGTCTTGCGTGGAAGTCTGCACTCCATTTGGAGTTGATTTTTGTCACTGGTGAGAAGTAGGGGTAGAGCTTCGTCGTGCTGCCTGTGGGCACCACTTCTCAAGCACCATCTGTTGGAAGGACTGTTCCTAACCCAGTGTGTGTTCTTAGCACTTGTGCTGAAAGGAAGTTAGCCGCAGGGGTGTGGCTTATATCTAGGCTCTCTTTTCTGCTGGACTGTGTGTGTTTTTATGCCAATATCATGTTTTATTGATTGATGTAATGTAGGGTCTCGAGACGCAGCTTGGACTTGCGGTGATCCTCCTCCTGTCTCAGCCTCTCCAGTGCTGGGATTACAGGCATGTGCCACCACACCCAGCTTCAGTGCTCCACTTGGTGTGGGGCCAACATGGCGTGCAGTACTGGGGCTCAAACTCAGGTCTGTATGCTTGCCAGGCAGGTTCTTAGACCACCCAGCTATCTCCCTGTCCCTCAGGATTTTTTTTCTTCATGTTTCTGATTCCTGTGGTTTTGTATATTTTGAGGTTGCTGGAGTGCTTTGAAGTAGTATAAGCCTGGCTTTTTGGCTCGTTGAGGGATCTTTGATTATTTGGATTTTTTTGAAAATCTAAGACTTTTAGTTACTTATGTTTTAAAGTCGTTGATGTTATCTTATTTTCTTTTTTCCTTACAGGTAAAAATGCGTGGAAAAGATTTCTTTGACTTTCTTTGTCAACTAATCCTAAAGGAAGCAGGTCAGAAAGAACCGCTTTCCCCAGAAGTCCCAGGCAACTGTCTGGAATCTTCTTTGGCAGAGATATTTCCTTTAGGAAATAACTGCAGCCCTGAGAGCCACGTGGCCTATGGCCACGCAGGACTGGCAGCCAGCGTCCTGGTGGTGAGCCATGGGGCCTACATGAGGAGCCTGTTCGGCTACTTTCTGACTGACCTGAAGGGCTCCTTGCCGGCCACTCTGAACAGATCGGAACTCGCGGCTGTCAGCCCCAACACTGGGATCAGCCTCTTCATCATAGACTTTGAGGAGGGAGGAGAGCCTGAGGTCCACTGTGTCTGTATGAACCTGCGGGACCACCTCAATGGAGGCAACTGAGGGTGCCGGGCCTAGCCACGTCCGAGTCTGAGCAGCTGAGGTCTGCAGGGAGCACCCTTGGCTTGCCTCAGTTCTGTCCTCTGCTGTGCTGATTTGGGAACAGGGAAAAATCAACCTACAAACCTCCACCCCGGACAGCGATGGAAAGCCATTTTATATTGATTGAATTTGCACAAGTGCTGTTGGCCTACTCCAGAGTAATTTTACGGCCCTACTCGGTCACGTCTGCATTGTACGTGGACGGGGGCCCTCAGCATTGCAGCTGGGGATTGATCACCTTGCCGCTGTGTATTTCCCCATTTTAAAATGTTGGTGCATTTTTTAATGCTCTGCTTATATATATGTATTAATTACTCCTGGGAAAATACTGTATGCTTTTGCATCTCATCCAGTGCTTCAAAAAAGGAGCTCCCTGTAATTGACACTGTATATTTATAGCAATTGTGTTATATTTAAAAATTTCTTTAAAGGAAATATTCTCCCTCTCATAAGTTATTGAAAATAAAACAGTAAAAAAACACTAAATGTTTTATGTAGGAACCTGCTGTTGGCTATTTATTTTTGTTTTAGAAGGTTCAGAGTACATTGTGAGGCAGAGGGGCACAGAGGGGAGCAAGTTAGGCACCATGTAGTTAGAATACATTGCAGAAGGAAATGAGGAGCTTGTTGAGGACCCCTTGTGAGGGCTGCCGGAAAAGCCAGGAAAGTAAACGAACAGAAACACAAAACCCCCGAAGTCTGGTGGGGAGAATGAGGAGCAAGATGATCTTGCTTCTCATCTAGGCAGCAGCTGCAGACCTCCAGGCTGAGAAGAACCCGCAGGCAGGAAGTAGCTAGTGCCTAGTGCACAGGAGAGCCTGTGACTGCTCCCGGGCTCTGGGAGTAGCAGATGAAGTTTTCCCTTCTTGCCACCAGGTGGCACCAGAGGAAGGGATTTTGATCAACTTGTATGTGCCATTAGTTCTTCAAAAGTCCTTATCTCTAGCAGCTTTGTACATTGCTGCTTGAATTGTCTTTTCTCTGTCTACATCCAGGAAAGCATAACTTTTCCTGTTTTTCTACTGGCCTTCTTTCCCATAGGATGTTAGTATTACTATTTCATTTTTCATCTATAGTTTTATTTTGTATCCTTTCTAGAAACACCTGAACTGAAACCAATTCATTCCTGTAAACCCTTTTTACTTCTACAGCTTGTGTCAGATATCTGGGGCCCACTGAACAACATATAGCCTTTTGGTTTTAGATTTTAAACCTGCATGATTACCTGGGTTTTGGTATCTTCTAAAAATAATCTGAGAGATTAGAACATATGCAATCAAAGCATGCACATTTGAGCTAACATGTACATTTATAAACCTTTTTGAGACCTAGCAGTTGAAACTCACTAGCTCTTAGACCCCTTTATTCATGGAGTCTGACAGTTTGCTCTAAGTCCCTCTAGCTTTAGTTAAGAGAGGTCACACGTGTATTAACTATCAGCACGAAATAGCGGAGTTATATTAAAAATCAACCAGGCTTACATACCTATGATGAAATACAAAGCATTTAGTCATATTAAACTAATGTCCCATTCAGTGTTTTGGATATGGCCCCCATGGTAAGCAAGGGGCACTGCCAAGGGATTTTTCCTTTCAACGCTGTGGCTCTGAGTTTTACATCACAAATACAATGTCTGGCTCTATCTATAGGCCCAAAGCTATTGGACACTGCCTAAGCCATTTTCTTTAGAACATTTTTACGCTGACAGGTTGTTATCTGTCCTTGGAAACCTGTTTTAACTAGTGAAATATTTTAAGTCTTACACATGAATTAACATACATTTGTAAAACATCAGTCTCAGCACCATCGTTTAGTAAACAATCTGAATATATTGCATTACCTCAGTTACAGCTAAAGCAGTATATCTTCTAAAGCCTGTTTCTATTGAGGTGCGATGACTGGAAGGAAAGTCAGGGCTGGAGAAGGACAAAGAGACCTGTGCCAATGTCCAGCAATAGGCTGGGTTTTCCTCTAGTCATGCTTACTCAGGGCTCCTCCGTGGAGACAGCAGGTAGAGGTGACAGTCTGGCCAGAGGGAGGAGGCAGGCCCAGGGCCCTTCAGTCCTGCTGGACCACCTGGGAAGCCAAGTCTGAGCTCTGGGGCCTCCACCTCAGAGTGCAGTCTCATTTCCAGTGGCTGTCTTGGCAGTCAGGGCATGGCTTGTGGGCCTCTTAAGGCAGTCCCTCTTATGCTGGCCTCGCTTCTGACAGCAGTAGCAGATGAACGTCATCATTGAGCTCTTCTTGGAGCCAAGAGAATCAGACTTTGGACGTCTGTTTTGAGACCGCAATAATGACAGCCATTTTTTGATCTCTTTATTTTTTCTCCCTGTTCCAATTATAGTACATTTAAACAGTTTTTACCAAAGTATCAAATGAGTGGTACAGAGCAAAAGCTATCTTTTGTAGCTCTTTAACTTATGTGTAAGAGTAATCTGTCTATTGAATTAACGTCTGACAAAGTATGCTTTATTAGTCTCTCTATTAAACATTTTAAGAAATCAGAGGGGTGTTCGTCTTTTTCCTGATAAATAGCTAACATTTAATAACTGAAGGCTTGATTCTAGTTTTTAGACCTTGAAGAATACACACTTGAAAGAAAAGCTTTTCCATTCTTCTGCCTGGCTATTAGCAGCAGGGCTCTGGCTGGTTGGGCTCCAGTGGGAAAAAGTAATTCCACTGGTTGTCCATCTTTTGAGTCCTTATAACAATACAATATTCCTCTCCAAATGTAATAGCAGCTTATAAGGCTACCTGCTTTTCATAGAAGTCAAAGCTTGGTTTAAGATTAACATTATATCTCTAATCTAGTTCATAAGTCTGAATAAATCCTCTAAAAGACATCAATGTACTTATCAGGGTCATCTAAGGCACATGAACTCTGGAAGTTCCAAATTTCTTATTT